TTAAACAACAATCGCTAATTATTGTATAACCAAACGGTTATATTTATCAAATCTACTATTTATTATCCGTTATCCACTTTTCGCTATACGCCATCCACCATTCGCCATCCGCCATTTGCTAACCGTTAATCGCCACCCGCTATCCGTTACCACTATCCGTTATCCGTTACCACTATCCGCTATCCGTTATCCGCTACCCACTATCCACTATCCGTTAAATTTTAACCGTTGCACCAAACATGCCTTAAATTGGAAGTCAAACCAACATGATCTTTAGTTTTTGGTTTAAATAGTTTAATTGGCTCAATTGTTAAAATTGTCAAGTTGGTTAAAATATTTTAAATATATTATTATACATAATATTTCACGTGGTGTACATTGACTGCAGTGGTAAAAATAAAATAAATCCACTTTAAACAACCTTTATTGTAAAAAAATCGCAGTTCAAGTTCCCCCTAAAATTGACATTAATATAATAGTGTTTCTAAAAATAAAATAAATATAATTACCAAGGTTGCTATCGACAATTTGGTTGAAATCTTTCCAATGACAAAAGGATTTATGCTGTCGGGTCCCGGTTCAACTGATCTGATAGACCGGTCTGGTCCGGTTTTAAAAACAATGATCAGAAATCGATTTTGTCAGCAATCTTATCCGCTTTGGAAGCATTTGAATTCTAGTCGATATCTGTGTCTTCATCAGAATCTTGTCTGCAAAGAAAATGTCAGGCACCGGAGAATTGCCGCCTGAACCTTTACCAGATTATGACAGGACCAAAGAGTTGAAGGCTTTTGATGACACAAAAGCAGGTGTTAAAGGACTAGTTGATGCTGGGATTGTTAGCATCCCCAGGATATTCATCCGACCGCCTGAGGAGCTTGCTGAGGAACTAAATTCATGCCATGGAGACATCCAAGTTCCAGTTATAGATCTCAGCAACATCCAGAGCTCTGATCGACGCAAGGAGATTGTAGATGAAATAAGGGTTGCATCAGCAGAATGGGGCTTTTTCCAGGTAATAAATCATGAGATCCCTTTAAGTGTGTTAGATGAGGTGATTGATGGGACACGCAGGTTCCACGAGCAAGATG